GAGTGATGATCATTCACGAAAAACTTCGGTTTGTGATACCTTACATAAATATTTGATGAAAAACGATTATGATAGAAAATCTGATTCTTTTCTAATAGGAAATGCTTTAAAGAGTCAAAGTGAAATCGAAGGACTTACTTCTTTGGAGAGATGGGCATAGAACAGAGCAGAGAGCGGAGTCTGCTCTGCTGGCTTGACCACCATGGTGCAACCAGCAGCCAAAGCAGGAGCAACTTTCATAGCAAACATAATGCTTGGGAAGTTCCAAGGAATGATGTGACCGACCACTCCAACTGGTTCTTTGAGCGTGTATCCGAACAGAGACGGACGTGTCATTCTTAGAGTCTCGCCGTGGATCTTATCCGCTGCACCTGCGTAGTACCGGAACTGACCGGCTGTAGCTGGTATGTCCGCCATTTTCCCAATGTGGAACAATTTTCCGCCGTCAACAGCATCAAGTGCGGCTAATTCTTCAATGTTTTGCTCTATTAAGTCTGAGAATTTGTTGATGATCCTTGCTCTTTCCTGATCGGATTATACATCCACCAAACTTGTTTAAGTCACAAGAATACTACACTCTATTATAACATCAATTCAAATATCACACACGCAATAAAAAATATGAAAATAGTCACGTCAACAAGAAAGAAGAATCGTTCAACTTGGAAACCGAAGCATACAAAATATAGCGAGATATGTTTTTTTTTAATAACTAAATGGAAGTAAACGTAAGTTACGTAATATGGCGATATATGTTTTTCTTAATTACATGAAAGTGACACCCAAAAAAAAAATGAAAGTGACACCATCCGAAAAATAAGTCAAATCTCGCTCCTTGCCTAATGACTCAATAATTAAACAATAGAAATATATATAAAAATATTAACGAAAGTTGATGATAATTGCACAATAATTAAACAATAGAAATATATAAAAATATTAACGAAAGTTTGTTTGTAAGATAAAGACCCTAATAAATACATATTAATATAGTGACCCACTACGTACGGGACCCCATCAATCAACCGCAGAATATCAATAATTTTTATTGATCTATCAA